CCTTCCTCATTTAGAAGTTTATGAAAGTAGGTCTGCCATCTCCTCTTAATCTGGTCATCCCCCAACAAAACTTTGTCGTCCTCATCTTTTATGCACCTCACTTGGTCCAAATCCCGAGCCGTCCTCTCTCTCACCTTAGCGAGTCGGAGTAACTTCTTCTCCCCGCCTTTGTTCCCTAGTTCCTCATACAAACGAGCAAAAGCTGCCGTCTTTGCCTCTGTCACTGCCATCTTAACTTCAGCAACTACAAACAAAAATTTCAGCACACTTGGTTCGGCAATTTTTGCTACTTCAGGTCCGTCTACTAGAATGCTGAAGTTTGCGTGATTGCCTTTTCTACTTCAGGCCCGTATGCTGAAGTTACGCGAAAAAGTGGGTACGTTTACAATTTTTTTCGCAAAGCGGGTACAAGTTAAAACGTGACCTAAAAGGCAGGTATAAATGCAAATGCCCTGGGTTAAAGCTTACTGTGTAACTTATGAATCAGGCACCCATTCATATAAAATAGCATGGGCTAGCTAGTTTTCGCACTGGTAATTAAAAAATGGTCAGTGTTTGAAAAGTCATTGAAAAATAGTCACTATTTTACTGCAACACGGAAAGTTCCAGCATAATATAATGGAGATTGAAGCACCTGCGTATGAACTTCTAGCATATTATGCTGGAACTCCAGCACATTATGAAATTCCAGCATGTTATGCTGGAAGTTCTCATGTAAACAATTCGAACTACAACATATTATGGTAGAATATCTGGATTTTGAACTGTGTTTTTGTTCAGATTTATCTTTACATGAAATGTGGCTAAATTTCGATTACTTTTAAAACTGTGATTATTTTTCAATTACCACTTATATATCTAGCTATTTTTGAATTTCACCCACCGACTCATCACCTAATATTAAATTAACACTCCATTTTGTTCATACACATTCCAGTTTATTTGGATAACTAGTAAATTTGTCCGCGTTTCGCGGCAGTTGTAATAATAATCAATAAATTTATCGTATTCTATGATTTAATTGATATAAAAAGTTTAATTTATATGCAGACAAAATTTAATTCTATGAACTAATTTAATAACAAAAAATAATATTTAACTTCATCGAGATGATCAATTTGCTGGAGGATGTTACTTACCTCACTTAATTAAAGTGGATATTTTGAGCATTGGCTTGACAATAATGCTTAAGTGGCTGACTGATAGGACCAAACCCATTATTGTACGTGAAAGTAGACAAAACAAAAAAAAGAAAAAAGAAAAAGAGATGAAAATATGATGTAAGCGCTTACATCGGCATTCTTGTGATGTAAGCGCTTACCTCGGCATTCTTATGATGTAAGCGCTTACATCGGCATTCTTATGATGTAAGCGCTTACCTCGGCAAGACATTCAAATGCCTATAAATACGGGTCTACATTTTCATTTGTAGATCATCCCAAAACTTCTTCTTTCTCTCTTCAATTAATAAAGAGTTATTCTTTGTATGGCCGTGGAGTAGGCAAAAATTGCCGAACCACGTAAATCTTGTCTTGTCTTGTCTTATGCAATTTATTGTTTTTCTCTCTTAAATATTCTTTTCTTTCTATTAGCTTGATACACTTCCCAACACTGACCTCTTTAATCGACTTTGCGAAGGTATCGCTTATACGCATCTTTAATAGGTTCTACCATATAAAATGTATTTTCTAGTGTATCTTCTGGAATTTTAATCAATTTGTTAATTTGGTTATTTAGGAATTTCAAGCAGGTGTACATGAACTAAGACCTGGGGGAAGATAAGATGTTGCACCACTGGTTATAGAGAGAGAGAGAGAAAAAAAAGTATGATGTAAGCCATTTAACCAATTCCCTTCCTAATTAATATTCATTATTATTAAAATAATCAATATTTATTTATATTAGTTGTATTTAGCTACTTTAAAATAGAGAAGAAAATACTTTAATATTATATTCTGGACTAAATTCAATAAAAAAGAGAGACAAACTTAGTAGTTGGTTTTTGCATTCTTACTATGTTTAAAAATAAAAATGGATGCCACTATATTCTCAATAGAATAAATCGAAGTAGTTCTCTCTTGTCGAAATGAAAAGAGAAAAGAATATTTTTATATGAGAAAGTTAAAGTAAAAGG